TAGGTTTAACTTGTTAGCAGGAATTTATAATTATGAAATTGAAATTTAATTACGCAAGAGGTCTATTATAGGTATTTTATGAGTAAAACTTTAAATATACAAAAAATTAACAAATTCCCTCCGTTTCTAACGGTTTTGTTTTTCGTAGAAATGTGGGAACGTTTTAGCTACTATGGTATGAGAGCGCTTTTGGTATTGTTTCTTACTTCTCATTTAGGTTTTGAAGACAAAAAAGCTTATGCAATTTATTCGGTATTTGCAGCCATATGTTATGCCGTTCCTGTAATTGGAGGGCTTTTGGCAGATAAATTAATGGGGTTTCGTAATATGGTATTACTTGGTGGTATTATCATCACTATCGGACACTTATCCCTGACATTGGTTGAGTTGAATTCCAAATTAATTTATATGGGGCTAGCACTAATTGCTGTTGGTAGTGGTATGTTCAAAGGTAATATTACTAATTTGTTAAGCTCATGTTATCAGAAAAGTGATTCCGAGCGAAGCAGAGGGTTCACTATATTTTATGTAAGCGTCAATCTTGGATCGTTTATGGCTTCTATATTATGTAGTTATATAGCGCATTTATATGGATGGCATTATGGATTTGCTTTAGCTGGATTTGGTATGATTTTAGGACTTATTACCTTTATCAAATTTCAGTATTTGTTAGGAAATAATGGCACTTCTCCGCAACCAGAAGTGATGAATAGCAAAATATTCGGATTAAGTATCTTCTCTATATTGCTAATTTTATGTTTTGGCTTTTCTGTGGTAGTAGCCAGAATGCTTGAATCAAGTGAATTTTTTGCGGATATACTTGCCGTTTTTGGTGTTATAGTTATAGTAATATTTAGCTACGTAATAATAAAGTCGTCACCATTACAAAGGAAAAAATTACTGGTGTTATCGATATTGATTATCTTTCTTATGTGTTTTTTTGCTTTGGAAATGCAACTTGGTTCATTGGTGAATTTATTTACTCAAAGGAATGTAGCAAATAATATATTAGGTTTTATTGTTCCACCCGGTGTTTTTCAAGCGATAAATCCTTTGTCAATTGTCATATTTGGCGCTTTATTTGGAACATGTATGAAATTTGATAAAAAATATGCTGCTTCTATATTTGCTTTTGGTATTGCTACTATGGCCATATCTTTTTTCATATTATATATAGGATGTTTAAATGCAGATATAGATGGAAAGGTAGGATATCTATATTTAGCAGCTTCCATAGCATTTATAGGATTTGGAGAATTATGCATAGGACCATTAATTCAAGAGCAAGCCACTTTATTAGCGCCTAATCACTTAAAAGGAATGATAATGGGTATAGTGATGTTATCATTGGCATTTGCCAATTTAGCGGGTATCGTAATTGCTAAGTTTATGTCAGTTCCTTCTGTAAATGGAGAAGTGGACTGCTTAACATCCTTAAGTATATATAAGGATGGATTTCTAAATATAGCAATATTTAATTTGGGATTAGTAGTTTTATTTTTACCATGTTTCCTGTTTGTTCATAGAATGATAATAAGTCAATCTAGTTCTAACGTTAATGCAATATAGTAGACGCAAGTGTCATAGATCAAAGCTGATAAAAATAGCTCTGATCTATGACAAATTTTTAAATCGCCTCTGCTCCAGCAATAATTTCTGTCAAATCTTTAGTAATTATATCTTGTCTAGATCTATTAAGCTTTAATGTTAACTTGTTAATAAGCTCATTAGCATTTTTAGTTGCGCTGTCCATAGCGGTCATTCTAGCCCCTTCCTCACTAGCTTTACTTTCTCGCAGAGCATAATTAATCTGCGCCATTATATAAAGATTAATCATATTCAAAATAACATCCTCACCTTCATATTCATAACTTGCCTGCTGTGAATTAGTATTTATATGTTTTTCAATTGGAAATATTTGCTTTTTAATTGGGATTTGTACCATAGCATTTTTATATTTATTGAAATATATTTGGCAGTTTACAGCTTTATATTTATCCAGCATCTTGCCTAATTGAGTTTTAAAGTTAAATAATAAATCATTATGGTCATTTTGACATTTAGGAAAATCAAAATAATGCTCGATATAATTACTATATGACCCCTTAAGCAGATCATAACCCTTTTTTCCCACAATAATCAGCTTTACTTGTTGCTTAGATGCTTGCAAATTGCTA